AGAATGAAATGTTTCAGTCAGATACTACACATCAAGTTCACAAAAATGACGATCAATTTGGCCAACAATGCCTCGCAGTCAAAATTTACCTCTATCGCGTGGTGTTTGTCAAAATTCATTTTGAGGTAATTGTGAAAGTTCAAACTTACCAAGATGACAGTCTATTTACTTGTGTCTGAATTTGTTTTCATTGTGTTTTCTGTGTTTCGTTTGCCAACAGTCAGCTGACAGATATTTAGGGGAGCTGTTCTTCAATTTTACCAAATTCTCCAAACTAACAGAATTGCACGTCAGACAGCAAGTAGAATTAGTCCTGAGATTGTGGGTGTGAAAGGGTTAACTGACACCCTTTAAAATTTTCATAGTAAGATATGAACTCAGTTTAACTCGCTTGATTCTATTCACTCGACTCTGATGATGACCTCTGCTTAGGATGTTGAAATGTCAGTCACCACTACCAACAACAGTCCTTCTGGGGACTACACTCACCTGAACAATCAGACTACACTATCAAATAGAAAAGTTAATGTGATTGATTGTATATTAGCCCAAACCTTTGGATGTGTAAGGAAGAACACTTGTGGCATGTTTGTGTATTAACCCTTCAAGATATCTTTAGGATATATTTGAAATTTGGTCTTTGGAAATATTTCGAATGTCTCCCCAACAGTGGTCAACTCAAAAGCTATGCCACTTTGGTCACTGTGCACATTTTACTTTTGATTATCGATGTAATTTACTGTTTTATATATTCTGACTTTTGTAATCTGTAGTAACCTCTTGGAATAGTGCAAATAAAGAGTTTCATTCCTTCCTTCCCCAAAGTTTTGTTTATATGCAAACGTTGTCAGCAGGTTCCTAACATCCCACCTTTTACTAGAAAAAATATAGCAGTTATTCAGTGATGATTGTGGAAGGTGTGTGGAGACACATCGGGGGTAAAATTAATTAAAAATGAAACATTATGAGAACAATCAAACAAAGATAGGGACGGATGGCATCAGGTATTTTACACATGTTGCACTGCTAAGTTACAAATTTCGATGCAGCCTTGATTGCAATATGGATCAAATGATTCAATATCATTAAACAAAACATTAGACCAGGACTTCAGATGCATGTCTTCCAGATTAATTTAAAACTTAGATTTCTATCTTGAAAATGACTCTTACTTACATAGCCCTTTCTGTTAAAAATGTAATCATTCTTTTTAGTTAAAATGGTGGCGATCATATTGGCCAGTGGGGTTTGTCACTAATTGAATGTTTGTTCAGATGTAATTGAGGGCGTTCTGCTTCAAAAACTGACTTTTTCCACATAATGGATGTATGCTGATTTTTTTTAAAAAGTGGTGTTTATCTGTCACCAAATATGATGATACAACTGAAACTAAAGTATTTGGCCTTGAAATAAATACAATAAACTAGAGAGAAGTTTGTTTAATATTGCTTTGTTGAAATTAATAATGCACCCTCACTAGAGAAAGAGAATTTTTCAAACTGCGAACAATTATTGTCTGAAGCCAACCAGTATGCCTGAATACATTCTAAGTCCATAATTTAAAATGGCTCTACTCATCTTTCATACGATGTTGTGTACTTGTAGACTTTAAAAAGGTTTTTGACAGGTTATGCTGTTATTATAATAACTTTCAAATAGAATAGAAGGCCACTACATGCCCCTTCAATAAAGGGCATTTTTGGATAAAGGAAATAGCAGAAAAACTAAGTGAAAAGGAGTTATAAAGTGTACTTAATATTCGTGTTGCTTTTAAACATTTCCCAAAAAATTAGCCTTCTTTCAAGCACTGTCTACAGTAAGACAGGCATTCTGAAAGGCGTACCCTCTGTGAAAAGCTTAACTCTTAACGCCCCAGCACTACTAATTAGAATGCATATTCTTCACTCTTTTTCCCGAACATTTCCTGTGGTATCAACAAGGAAGAACTTGTCAAACAATCAAAGAGCTCAAGGTGGCGATCAGTTCCTATATTCTCATTCTCCTTATGTTTGTGTCGAGGTGACACTGTAAGTGGGAAGGGGTCGGGAGGTAAACTGGCTTTTGTACATTAGATTACTGACTGACTGAATGACTGACCGATTGATTGAGTGACTTCGGCCAGAAAAGAGCTTAGAATAGTCGAAGAAAGAGGCGCTTTTTTCGTTTTTGGAATTTTAGTCAGAATATAAACTTTAACGTAAAATATATGTTGGAGTCAAAAGTCAATATTAGGCGAGGCAGATTCCCTTGTTTAGTCTCGGTACAATATTTTTCAAATTGAACGTAGAGTTGTGTATGGTCTCCACGTAGTATTTTTTCTGTCAATCTTTTTTCACAGGTTAAATAAAGTAACTACCGTAGAATTTATTTCACGTTACATGGCGCGAAAGTTGAATGCGATTATTTAAGGTTTTGCATGTTACTTTGTTCGTTAACTTTTTAAATTGTTCCTAGACCTTGAAGAAACGTGAACGTGATTTTGAAGCAGAGAGAGACCTTCTGAAAGTCAGCAACAGCACCAGCAAGCAGCGATTGTTAGTATTGAAGAACGAGTTGATCCTTGAACAGGAACTTATAAAGGCTCCCTCGCAAGGAGGCAACGATTCCAAGGCTTGCCAGCCTCTCAGTGAGACAACATCGGTGCAGACCGAGGTAAAAGTGAAAAGCGAAGAAAAACAAACCTCACCAGTTTCCGTTGCAACTCAGACCTCGTTCACCTCTGGTGAGGAATCTGATGTAGATGGCACCAGTGTGAAAGTGGAAGCTGTCACTAACGGAGAGGTGGAGCACTCCAACGTAGAGAAGCATGAGAAGGAAGCTTCTGAGGACGACGAAGATGAAGACGTAGACGTGGAAGGAGAAATTACAGACGACAACACTGAGGACGTGGATGCCTCGGTGAAAGCGGAGGTGGCGAGGTTACCAGACCCTGTGCTTTCGTCTGGAAAAGTCTCTTCATCCAAGAGGAAAGCAGCAGCTGGAGATGATGGCAATAAATTGGAGGCCAAAAAGACCAACATCAAATGCTGCGCACGTGTCAGCTGCTAAGCACGATACTTAACAAAATATTTGATGAGGTCATGGCCAATCTCACTGTTGTGTCACTCAGTGACCAGATCTTGCATACCATGTATGGCTACTAAGGGGAAGTGTGGTTAGGTACCAGATCTGCAATGCAGGTTGAAACGTTGTAATTTAAATATCTCTTTATCTAGGTATTGGGGTTTTCTGTTGTGTACGTGAAGATTTCTTTTAGGTTCTCTCTTAGCCCCTGTAGCTTGAGCTTTGATGGCCGAGCGCGAGTAGTCGATGGCGTGTTAAGACACGTGTATTCCTTCAAATCAACTTCAAGCGTTTTGCTGTTTGCTCGTTTGTAGCCGTCTGGCAAGTTTCTTAGATATCACTTGCAAGGGAGGGAAACAGTTTTAAAGGGTTGAGAGGGTTGTTATCTTTTCGAAAATAGGGTATTGCATCGGGTCTAAGGTTCTTGGACCAAAAGAAAAAATGAGGAATGTTTGGTTTCAGTTAAGTTTAGTTTTAACTCAGTAACGGCTCTTCAGCATAGCTGGAAAACAGCGTTGCAATTTGATTTAGTGTTGTTTCAGATGTGTTGCTAAGCGACGCGGCCTAACGTTATAACGTCATGCAGCTGTAACGCGGGTGAAAAACTCCCAGTTTCTCGACTGCTTGTACTTCAGTTTGACTAAATGGCGGTCATCATTACTCTTCGATTCAGCCATTTTCTAGAGATGTTCAAGCCTCGTTTGTCAGTGTTAAGTGTATTTAAGGTGTTTTAAAAGTAGGCGAACAGTTGAGTAAAGAACTTCCACTAAAGGATTGTTCAAACGACTGATAACATTCCATCCAAAATTCTACTTATTATAACGATCGTTGTACAGGGTTCTTTCGTCACGGACGGCCCTCTGCGTGGCATTATTTTCCATAACGCAATTGGCTCTGCTCAGGGTATATCTTGCTCTGATTACATTGATTCGTTAAGAAATGTCGTTCTTTCTCGTCGCATCATGACTCCATGACAATGGTTTGGAACAAACCCAAACCAAAAACGAAGTATTAAGGATTATCCCAGAATCATTAACCCTTAAGTGAGAAATAGTTGTTGGGATTTTCATATAACACTAATGATGTCGACCCTTCCACCCCTCTTATTTTAGTAGTATCGAGTGATACTGCTAAAGTATTGTTTAGTAAGACCGTGCTATTTAAGGATACGCCAAGAACTCTCTTGTACGATTGACGAGAGAACTGTTTATTTTTTTCATGTTCTAACCTTGTGTGGAAAGCTATATGTGAAGAAATAGCTTTAAACCCACAAGGTGCATGTACAATTTGTGATGTCTAATTTTAATTTCACTGAACAAATTTACAAGTGGCGTGATTCAAAAGAAATCTCCTGAGCGGTGTCTCATTTTGTGGCCAAGTACCGTTCCGTGTATGACGAATTCAACGCCTTTGAGCGGTGCCTATATGAAGTACCGTTTACTGCAGATGACAGAGTACTTGAGAAGGTTCTTCGTTAGTCCCCTGTATGTCGCTCTGAGTGACTCAAATTGAAAAAAAATCCTTTAGGGTAACCATAGTGGACGCTTGTGTGGTACTGTTGATCTTTTTTGACGTGGAGTTATTTTTTTAAGTTTTAGACTTTGAGTGAAACAGTGCGAATCCTTAAAGATCCCATGTTTTAAAAAAAAGCAACATTTCCTATCTAGACCTTGTGCATTTATGAAATAATATACTGCCTCGGTGTATGTTAGGAAGAAAGGAGGTGGAGAAGTAGTAGTTGCTACTATGTAGCTTTAGAGGGGTCTGTAAATGAGACTGCTGTGAATAAACAGGCCGTATTTGTCCATTTTGGGACAGTGACACATGGCTTTTGGTGTGGTTGTAAGATGATGCAATTAAGTCGTAACGTAAATGTGCAAAGTGAACAGTGGCCTTTTCAGGCCCCAAGTCAAACCATCGCACAGGTGGGCGAAAACTGAAAAATTGTCAAATGAAGTAAGAAAGCATAAGAAAAGCCTTGAGACATTCGTTACCAGAGTTCCTCCCTTTCTTTCTCCCCTCTCCCCTCCTCCCCAGTTTAAACTATGAAGACGCGAAAAGGTGATAAGATATCGGCCTTACACCCAGTAAGATTGGTGAATCGTCTACGACTGAAGGCGAACATGATCTTTCAGCACCTAATAGAGGTTTGTCAGAAATGTTTCATTGCACTTATTGTAATTTTTTTTCCTTTCCTTTTCTTGCGTCTTGCCTGTCTTTCCACGCTTGTCATTCGTGAGGTAGTACACTCCTCACCGGCCTCACCCATATCTCAGGTTCGAAGGTCGCCACAATTCTTTTCTTTGAATCCTTTTTAAAAGCTTCCGTGGGGTCCGTAACTCTGTCAAAGATATCGTTTTCCATTGTCCAAAGGTATAAGATTGGTGAAGGAGATTTTGCAACTTAGGCTTACACAATCTACCTTTTTACAATGGTATTTCGAGCACTACCTGTCCTGAACAAAGTAGGTGTAATCGTTGCCTTCTGCCAACATTTAAGAGGTCAGGTTTGCAAAATTAATCAGTTCGAATGTCTCGTAAAGATCTTATTCGCCTCCCGCATTTGTCAAAACTAATAAAAGTGGTTTGGGTTAGCCAAAAGAGAGAAAAAAAAAAAAGGGATGTGTTTGACAGCTCTCTGTGAGAATAGGTATAATTTCCTCCTCGCGCTGATCCCTTCACGCCCTGACTAAACTTCCCCTGTGGGGTTTCCGTCCATGCCCCCCAACCGGTGGGAAATGTTGCCATTTCTGACAGTGCAACCTTGGTCATTTGAAGTACTTAAATTACAACTACAGAGGGCATGCAAGCTTTAAATTGTTCGATTAATTTCGCATCATTTTCTCGCACGAAACTCATCTCACTTTTCTTTTTCAAGCAATGAAGCATTTAAGGCCTTTCGTTACGATGAATCACGGGGTTGTTTTCACAAACTGGCGACAGGTATAGAGTTGAATACTTTTAAAATCATGATCTTTGTCAAACTTCGTCGCATCGTGCTCTAGCCACTGCTGAGGGGAGAGAAACAGAAATAACAGTGATGCATGAAGGGTTCTGTTAGCAGTTTTGTATTAGCACTTGTATTAACACGTTCAAAGGTCGATTTTTCTCGGCTCAATATTGTGACCAAATAGCCGTAACATCCATCTTAACTAAAGCTTACAAGTTTCATAACAATTACGATGTCACGATAGGATTGGTAACAACACAAACACAATCACACTCACGTAACCATTCACTTTGATAGACCACCACTGCAATGAAATAATTTAGCTAGGCCTTAATTACGTGGGCGAAACGCACTCAAGATCAAGCCAAATTCAACGAGAACTCCAAATCATCGGGAGAACATGGAAACTGATCGACATTTCCTCTCAAGAAAAACATCCTTTAATCACGAGTGTAAAATAGGAAATTGATGTAAAAGCTATTACGCCGCAAGTTTTAAATTTTTGTTCACGCAGGTTATGTGCACAACGCACAAGGAGTTCGTTGGCTACGAAAGTTACCTTAGGATATCGGTGTTCGATTCTTTGGAACGCCAAAATCCGCAATCCGGCTTTAAAAATCACCTTCAAATTCTTAATTTCGCTTTGAGATTCAATCATAAGATGTTACTGCCCTTTAATGAGCGAGACAAGAGGTATGGTCCGCTAGAAAATTAAAATTTTGTTTTATACATTTTGAGATCTTTGATGACATATATACTGCTTAGCGAGTACAACGTCTGAGTTATGTAGACACTTCAGGAATTTCCTTTATGAAAAATCCTTTAATATTAAAAGCATACAGAGGGAAAACGTTTTTTCGCTAGTATTCGCGAGTTAATATTAGCATGTGAAATGGCCAATTCCATCAAAAGTGAATGTTATGTTAATGGCTATCATGATAATCATTAGGTAATCTGGCAAATAAACCGACTAGAAGCTTAACAAAAATTTGCAAGTGTGGAGACAAAAGAAAAACAGGTGTAGCCATCCCGCGACGCTCCATTGACGTCAGTGAGCGGAAAGAGCCCATTCACGCAGGAAACGTCCGTTAGTGAAACTCATTGTCAGGCAAAGTTAATTCCTGATTGAACCAATCAGAAGACGAAAACACGAAACCACGACGAAATCGATCCTTTCAAGGGAAATTAAGAGGAATGACATCTGTTTACAGAAAGCAGGTGTTGGAGATAAGGACGAGCAACCAGGCCTTAACATGGCAGGTGTATACAGCTAAGAAAAGACAGCCAAGACAAAGAGAACCCGCGAAATAAGTTTGAGACACTTGAACAAAGGCGATCCTTCAACGCTGTTTCGTTTCCTCGTTTTCAATGTGCGATATATAGTGATTATGCTTAATCTGCTAGTTTTTCTCCTCCATCAGATTAAAGGAGTTAGTTTCTAAACATGTGACGTAGTGAACACCACCACCATCGCTACATCCTTGTTAAGCATATATCGACAAGTCGATCCCTACTGTAAATTGTACCCAAAGCATGATAGCCAGGGAATGTCGCAGTTACCTTTATGAATCTTACCTTTTGATCGACGAACGAGAATCGAGAAACGGGCTTTAAAGAAGAAAGAATAGTGAGTGGGAAGTTTAGATGTCAGTCAAGAGAGTAAGTTTGCATAGCTAACGATTGGAAAACGTTGTTTATAAATTAAGGCATTTTTTCTCAAACAAAAAAAAAACATACAAATTCATAAAATCTCTCTCTTGAAAAGAGTTACCTTTAATTTACTTGCTGAATTGCTCGTCAAGAAACGGGTTTTGGAGAAGAAAGCGTAAAATAGTTAGAAGGAAATTTAGAGGTCCGTCGAGAGGGTACGTATGAATAGTTGATATGAAAAATATTTCGTTTGTATATAGCAGCATTTTTCCTTAAAAAAAAAAAAAAAAAAACGCACAAATTTATGGCATCTCTTTCTTGAATAGAAGAGTTATCTTTAATCCACCACGCCGAGTTGCTCGTCGCGGTGGATTCCATTTATTTCTTCATTACTGACCGACCGTCACGACATCAGACAGAAAAAGGATTACTACTTCATTTATCTGGCATGAAGTAGACTACAGCAGTAGATGGCATCTTCTTTCTTTTCCAGCTCTTTACATCGCAAAATCATTAGACGTCTTAATGAACCTCTCATCTCTTACGGTGTTCCGGAAACATCCGGGTTATTGCTTTCATTTGAATAATAGGCATCTCGCAATAACCCACGTAAGCCATTTAAACGTAATTTCGTGGGATGTAACTCCCGTTAGCAGCTGTTGTTTAGGACTTCTATTTCAGCTTCTTTACCTACCATTTTTTAACCAACTGTGGGTTTCCTGAAGAGGAAGGTAAAAATCAACGCAGGTTAGCTTCTTACTCTGTATAAAGCAATTCATTGCAGAATGATCTCATTGCAACCGGAACATATTTGCAATTGTCGTTGAAACTCGTTCGCTGACCGCTTCAGGGGATCTTTTTCGCTTTTTTTGTGTCACCAACTGCCTTTTGAGGTACTCTTTCTAAATTTCTACCAAATCGCAACCCAACCATTAAGAGAAACGATTTTTGATCATCGTCCAAGACCTATAGTTGCCATTCTACATTTAAGGATTGGTAACAACTAGATCTTCAAAAGTTATATATTGACATAAAGCGGCTATAAAGTAAACACGATACTTGCGAAGGTATTTAATCATCGTTCTCTTTCTCGGACCAGTGTTTAACGTTTCCGAAAACGATCGAAAACATCAAGCAAGCAAAAACATCAAACACACTTCCCAATTTTAATATGATTGCTTTTGAAAAGTTTGCGATCACACTCCCGAAAGCGGGTATACAACTGGCTCTAATTTTGAGCATTCTAAGTCCATATTACAGAATGCTTGATGGCCTCTCTTCTACAGTCGTTACCTCCAGCCGGTTCACGAGATTGTGGCCTATCTCTAATCCATAGTCTAAACTCATTGAGATAGCTACAGATAATCAACAAGGTCCATTAACTCTCTTTAAATGTTATCTAGAAAACTCTATTTCATACAATTTTCCTTAAAGTTGTACACTCGATATAACTGCCTCCCGGTTAGCTCAATTGGTAGAGCGCCGGACTGTTGTGCGGGAGGTCGTGAGTTCAAATCCGGCCGGACCAACACTCAGGGTCTTTAATTAATCTAAGAAGAAAGTGCTGCCTTTGTAATAATATCTGCAAATGGTTAGACTTTCTAGTCTTCTCGGATAGGGACGATAAATAGAGGTCCCGTCTCCTGCAGGGTTGGGGTAGGAGACGTTAATTTCCCACACACGAGATTACTGTGTGATGGATGTCCTCCCCGGGGTGGGATGGGTGGATAAAAAAAGGGGTTAGGTATCAATTGGAACGAAAGTTCTGTTCCTTTCTCCTGTCATTCCTGTGGCGAATGAATTAAACTAAACTAAACTAAACTCTAGCACTACTATAACGTCGGCAATATCGCGGTTTTCTTCCATTCTGCCGATCGACAAACGTCATTTTTTCTCAGTCCCCTCCTTCCAGCTATTAACGACAGACAAGTGCCACCCCTTTCTTTATTGTCTAACTCATTCAGTTTTAAAAAATCTACATTTTAAAAGAAGCTTAAGTTTCTTTCTTTTTTTGGATGAAAAGAACAACCTGCTCTATCTAAAATTTGTGCCACGGTCTATCAAGCGAATACGACAGAGATCAGGTGAAAAACACTCAAATCAGTATTTGAACTCCGGAGTATTAGATGAAATCAAAAACATTTCTCTTTTCAATTGCATAAACCCGTAAAAAGAGTAAAATCTCCACACGGAGATTAATTCGACCAACAATGATGAAAGCTTGTGGAAAATACCCCTTGATGCTGCTATTTAAAAAAAAGGAATAAGAAAGATGTACACTTCATTTGTAGCTATTATACATCAGTTAAGACAGACGAATTAAGATATACGCGACAAGAGTAGATTCACATCACAAGAAACCCTCAGAGCCTCGTCGCGAACAAGAAGCTCAAAACTGTTCAAAATTCATTGCCTCTAACGGTCTCCTCCGGCAAAATGGGAGAAGCTTCTCTCTCGTTCGTTGCAGAGAAACAAAAACTTCATCGTGACGTCATCAAGAAAAAAAAACTACGAAGTGCAGCAACAACGCATTAGTGTTCAAGCCAGCAAAATTTTCAATCACTGAAAGACATGAAGTTATATTGAAGAACACATGTTCTCTAAACAATTAGTTTTCACGAAACACACCCAGGCAGACCAGACGTCATTAGAACCTTGACAATTAAACAAATGTCGGTTAGGATATCCATTACTTTTCCACAATAAGAATTGGGAACGGCTAAAGAATAGGCTGAGTTTGGGGCATGAGATTTGTGGCTCAGAACTGCCGAGGTCTATCTGGTTCAGTAGTGTTACTACTCTTCGAGTATAGAATGCTAATCCATCGCCATCCGCAGGCAGCTGTTTAACTAACTATCACACAAAAGCTAGAACGACTGCGTATTTTGAACTTTTATTGACACGGAATTGCTTTTTAAGCTCGTCTGGTCTAGAACCATTGAACACTGTTATGAGTTCTGCCAACGATCCCAACCTCAAGCTGCTGTCAGTGTTTTTCTAAAGGCTGTTACGTAAATAATTCAACTGAATACACATAGAGAATTCTTACAGATGTCTAAAGAATATCTACCGTTCATGGTCGGTTGGTGAGACGTTTTGTCGATGCGATATCACGCGCAAAGATGATGGGGTCCGGCATAATAATCCATAAAACATTAAGATCCTTGAGTCATCGGTCTAGAGAATAATGAGATGCAGTCATTCCTTTAAGTTCGCCTTCTGTTTCTAGCGAGAAAGGAATATACAAAACAGAAATACGACACGTATGTCAAGTCTTACATGACACTTAACGATGCACCGCCAGATAAGAAAGTTAAGGTTCGACAGCTAAACCAAAATAAGAATTATTCACAGAATTAAAAGATTTACCAAGGCTGAGGTGATCTTTGAACGATGACGCAGCACGAAAATGAAATGCGTGGTCATCATTATCAAATAGCAAACGATGTAGTGTACCCGTAGAGAGAAAAACAGAAAGGGTCTCAAGCGTTGTGGAAATTCAAACAATCGGGACTGTTGTCGGCAGACTATTGGCCTCTCATTAAAAATACATGGCTTCAAAGAAAGTGGTTGGAAAATTCAACGATATCTAACTTTCTTCAGAAGAACAGTTTGTGGTGGGGTCTCTAAATATAAAGGAACATGGAGAGGCTAAGCCTAAGATGATTCTTCGTCGATTGACGGGCAGCTAAGTTTCATTTTCCAACGGCCTGCGAGCAGAATTTAATGTCTCAAATGATGGGAAAATAACATTGTTCAGAGGAAAGAGAATAGGAGATAAAGTTTAAACGCTTTGAGTAAACTACTTCAATTTAATACCATAAAAAGTCATCTTATTCAAAAACTTAATAACAGTTTACGGTCTAGCGGCTAGGATTACAATGGTCCAAATTTATACTTATTCAAGTGATGACTATAATTTACTCGAACCTGCAAAGCTTCGACAGCCTGTCGAGGCCTGTCTGTCTTTACATTTCCGCCTACGTGGTGCTCTCAGTTTCTACTTGATTGGGAAAAATCCCTTGACCTCTTTTTTTTCATTTTCACTTTTAATGGACCATGAAGGGCTTTAAAAAAATAAACTATTTCAAGCATTTATGCTCTGATGAGCAAAGGAGTTTACCTATAGGCTCCAGTTTCACGCAAAAAATACGTTACATTCAAAGAATACAATGCATATGTGGTCTAATAACTTCCATTTGGCATAACTACAGAAGCTTACCTAGCTGGGTTGGTTGTGTGGTAAATTGGAGGACGTTATTGGATATTTGGAACATTCAAAACAAAGAAACACCAGACAGACACAATGAAATGTGTTTTGGACCGGTGTTCTGTGGGAAGGCCAAAATCAAGCTATTCAAAGCTATCAACATCTTCATGCAAATAACTGCACTGAACTAAGTTCGAACAGTATGCCTCCACTGCTTGTCAAACAGCGTTGCTTGTGGCTGGTTAACATGCTTGTAGACATACATTTGAAATTGTATTCAATCTATGACACATTCATTTGAAAATGTACTCAATCTATGATATAGTTTTAAGAACAGAGGAATACACAAATACTCTAGCATCGCTCAGTGTGGGATACGTGCAGGAATGTTGTAAACAACCATTTTCAAAGTGAGAGGAGGTCAACAATAGCGTGCTCTCAGACGAAACCGAAAGCATTACTTTTCCCTCACAAGCTATAATTACATAACAAAATGCAGCTTTTTCTTACAAAGCGGCAAGACAAAAAGTGCGTCATAGCTGTCAATTTAACACCACTACTGAGAAAACGAAACAATATTTAAATGCTATTATTGTTAAGTGAGTCAACCAGCTGGTCGATTTCCTGTCAATTTGTTTGACAGCTTATTAAAATGCAAAAGCTGTATCTGAACAAACACCCCCGAAATCCAACCTTCGGCTTGATCGTTTTCGATAGGCGATCAACCTTTTCGTAGAGCAAGAACAACCAAAAGTCGTCCCCACATATTATTAACGTTGTCTTTCGAGAAATTGTGTTAAAAAAACAATCTGGCAAGCCTTTCGCAAAACATGACAAGCAAACACGAATCGATGGACAATACAATCTTACCGTTGCATCTCGGAGTTCATTCCGAGTGAATACATCTCTTTATCTCGGCTTATAGAGCCCAAATTTGGACTCCGGCCGGTGTACTTAAAAAGAGACCTCTCATTTTCACACAGTCTAGTGCCTAGACTATCGAGGGATCTGGCGAAAAGAGACAACGTCGGACAAAGCCTCATTCTTCGTCCGATCAAGAAATGGCTGCAACACGAAATATCCGACACAATGATGGGTGCGGCCGCGAAGTAGGCTACGTCATTTCTAAAATTAGCCAATAACATCGTCAAAAAAACAATACAGATGTCAATTCTAAACGTATTAGCCAATTACATTTCGACAACTCTCGACTTTCGCGCGCATGAGAGTCACGCTAGTGAAGGTTTGACACTCGTATGTAACCCCTCCACCATGCTATTTTACCGTGAGCTTGTTAACGAGTAGTATTGTTCCGGCGCGCATCTATTCAAGACCAGTACGATCAAATTTGTTTTGAATTACACAGAGACGGAGTGGTCAGTGGATGGGACCCATTGAGCGTTAATCAGGCTGAGGAGACTAACATTTCAGGGACGCAAAGACTAACA